ATACCTCTATTTTAATACCCTAAATCCAGTCTCTCAACTTAGCTACGTTACCATCTATTGCAGCAATCACCAAGCTACAGTCTGAATAAAACCCCAAATATGCTATTTCTGAACCACAGCAACTCAACCACCTAAACGGTTGAAGTGCTGTAATCTTGCATCACTGACAAGTCAGGAGCTGTTCCATCGTATCCAAACATTTTCATCCACAAACTTCACAAAGCCTCTCTCATTCACAGTTCATAAGCTTATCATCATCTGGGGGTATGTCATTTGAAACAAAACACACACATTCACRCAGAAAATGAGCTTTTTTAATTCTGGAGAAGGGAGAATAATTTCTCATCTACTAAATTATATCTTGGACTGCTGGAAAATTTTACAGATAACCTATTTAAAGAAACAAAAGAAACCCTCAAACCCTCTGTTTTCCTCTCCTACAAGCCTGAGTAAAACAGTTGTAATTTGCAAAGGTCAAGGCCACTCTTCATTTGTCACTGTTGCCACTCCTCAAACGAATTTCCAATTATACTGCAAGCCTGCAGCTTGCAATGTACAAAATCATAATGGTATTTTCAAGATTACCGCTCAGTTTTGCRTGCAACTAATAAGTGAGTCATCTGGCAATTGCCTAAGCAGCAGTGGAAGTGCACAGCACATACCCATGTTCTAATATATATCATTTATCACATCCTTGATTTGTAGCAGCACAATGACTTTTCACCAAGTATATAATTCTGTTGAGGATACCACAGATCATAAACTAATTAATACAATCACTGCAAGAGCACAGGAACGTAAGATATGCCTAAGTTCATTTTTAAAATTGTCCCACACTAAATACTTCAGAAATGCAGATGTCTGTATAAAGCTGCCCGAAACAGACACATTTGGCCCTGAGTTTCCAGTGCACACAGAGGGATTTAAAAGTCCCCCATTCTGGGCATAAAACAGCTGTTGTAGGATTAAAAAAGAAAAAATCTTAAAAGCAAAGAGGTCACTAAGCAGAAAAATAACCAGAAGGCCATGCATGGCAATTTGGAAGGAGGTAGATTCTGTATAAAAGAGATGAGGAAGAAATGACAGCAATAGAGACAGACGTGACTGCAAGAATAACTGAATCTGTTCTTGAATAGATTCTAGAATAACTGATTTTGTAACAGAAGTTAGAAAAGCTTCGTCTTTAGCTGAACACGTAGCACCAGAATTACATCAGAGACAAAGAGGATGGGAAACACAGGTGAAAGGAATTACACAAAACACACMAAGAAACCCAAATCTACAGTCCTGCGCTGCATAAACACACCCTATGCACTGGATGGCACAAAGCACATGGATAGCAAGAAATGCCAGATGTGACAGTTCATGTGTTACTGCCTTGAGGAAAGAATTATAGGAAATAAGGAAAGGCTTGCAGTTATATAAAATAAAGCTGAGCTGAGAGGGCCGTGATGTAGAGCAGATGGGCTGAAATAACGAATTTAAGGTTGAAATTCAACAGTGAATATTTCACTACCATTTTCAGCGAGCAAAAAGCTGCTGCAGGACACAAGCAGGTCAGTGTGCCATACCCAGGTGGTCTCACTAACCTCAAACCAGGATGGCAAAAGCACCTGCACACAAAAATATCACAAGGCTCAGATCAAGGATTTTTTTAAAAACAGATCTTTATGAGTTATGTTTTGAGGAGCTCTTTAAAAATGATACATAATGGCCTGCAGTTGAACTCAACAAGGAAGAAATATTCTCAATGAAAAACCTGATTTTTCATTTCAGTTTMTAAGATGAAGTTTTATTCATGAAATTCTCACATAGCATTCAGCTACCTTCCCACARGACGATGAACCTGTTGTTCAATGCACAACCCCAGACCATCCTGTATGCCAAAGGAGGAAAACAACCTGTAGAAAATGTGTATAAAATCATTTATCTTAAAAATGTATTGTTCAGTACTATTCTGTATTCACAGAAAAGGGCCAGATTAAGGTTATATGACATTTCTAAGTTCTGTTGGCTTTATATAGGCTAGTGATTGCATGACAGTGYGCAACTCTAACACTTTGATAAAGCAAAGCAAAAAACAGCTATCAAAGGCATCATGTTAACTCGTTAAGTCTGTTCTGATTAAACAGCAGTTTAGAGAACTCATCTAGAGTTAAGTTTTCTGCAGAGTCACCAGAGATCTGGTCAATATAGTCAATGGAGTTTAGGGCAAGAATCATAATTCAAAACAGGCAGCTGATTTCATTCAGTGAATCGAATCCTAACCTCCAAGGTGAGACTGGATTAGCTGTTGCAGATATAGAACTGCTCACAGCGGATAATTCTGTTTAAAAGGTAGTAATGTTTTGAAAATAGGTTTATACACATTTTAGCTCAAGTACAACACAGTTTCCTTATCTTAATCCTCAAATGGCTGAATTGCCTTAACTTGCACGTAAAGAAAYAGAATTAGAACTCATACAAACAAAAGCAGATACTCCATATAATAAATTTCAACCTGGAAAAGTTAGAATATTTGATCCTCCAAACCAAGTCCTACAAGAGACAGAGCAGGCAATTCTTTAGCAATTATTCCTCAACCCAACAGAAGCAAGCTAGAAATTCACACTACTTAAAACTAATCATAGTATTAAAGTTATAAAATAGCATTGGTTTTTACAATTAAATGCAAGGTTTCAGTTAAAATTGTTTTAGAGCAAGGCCAAAAAGCATGAAACTGGGTCAACTGTGATATCAGGTGACCATAACAGATTTCTGACAAACTTAACAGGAAGTACTTGCAATTTTCAAAAGAGGGAAGAGTCAACTTACCACCTTTAAACAATTTACACACAAAAGTTCCCTCAAATTGTGTGATATTTAATTCAGAACACAACTACCTCACTTTGCTTTTTATGTTGTCCCCCTTTAATAAGGGCAATTGTCCTTTTAACCAGGCATAATGCAAACAGCAAACGACACAGACTTACCTCTTACCTTTTCTATAGTTGTTGAAAAATCAGTTACAAGAGTCAAAAACAGACATTAACTAACTTGATCAGACCTTATAGGTAAACAGAAACAAATTATTAGGTACACTCCTTTCTTAATTCCTAAGACACTTCCTTGCACGGCTGGAGTAATATGAATGTATTTTTACCAGAAGTGTTTTTGCCCTATGAGAATGAGTTAATATCAGACAAAGCTTAAATCCAAAGCTTACTAAGGTGTTTAAATGCAGCAAACCAGCCTAGCTAGTCAATGTAATGAAAACTTTGGGAATTTATGCTCACTTTTTTCTGGCATCCAGGTACAGCCAGTCTGTTTCTGTCTTACTCTTCAGGAATTTGAAGGAAAACACCAAGGTGATTCAAACTACACAAAGTGATCACACGGCCTGTTCCCTTCCATCTTCTATCTCCTCTCCACACTTAATAAAAGTCTCCATCTTTGGAGATCTTTAAAACCCGCTTGGACGCAGCCCTCTGCCCTGTGCTCTAGGTGACCCTGTGTGMGCAGGGGGGTTGGACTAAATGACCTCTGAGGTCCCTTCCAACCTTAAGCATTCTATGATTCTATGAATATCTGTAAACAATAATTTTATTTCATGCATAATGAAACCTGGAGACAGTAGACARGAACATTTTCTCAGTCACCGCTGGCAAATCCAGACTGACTCYTCTCACTTATCCCAGCATTCATCAGAGGAAAACAACAACATACACGTAAGTTAAAACAAATGCCAACTTTTCATGCTGATGGTTTATCAGCGTTAGTCTTCATTGTCAAGCAGATAAACACATTTTGTAGTTGATAAAAGCAGCGAAGAAAAATCATATTCATTCKTACAGTACCTGTTATCATGGGCTGGTCAACACTGATGAAGATGTAATATCTGCCCTCTAACCATCAGCTTTCTAGTTTCCCCCAACTATCAGTTTACGCTGTTTTTCACCATCAAGAAGTTCAGTATGGGTTTTTCACTAGAATATGGTTGGGGGTAGAGTTGTTTGCTTCTTTTACTCATCACTTAACATTACACAGTAGTAAAAGTTCAGCAGCAGTCATGACTGCGCATTAATATTTCCTATACAGTCTGTTTTTTAACCCCTGGAAAAGAACCAACTTTAACTGCTAACTTATAAAACAGACACACATCTCTTAATATTCTGCAGCTCCTTTTGTACATAAATTGGGATTCATCTGTTATTTATTCATTTTCRCTACCAATATAGTACCTTTACTAATGTCCTGTGCAGATTTGGTTTGAAGGCTCAAGCACCACAGAACCAAAGCAGCATTTGTAAGCTTCTCTTATGAAATCAAATACATGATTTAGCTAATGAAATGAAGGAATATATTTTGTAATCAGGAGATGCTAACTACCCACCAGACATGTTCCTCATTACAGGTCTATTAGTTTGTTTTCTCAGGTGACATACTGGTGCAATAACATCCAGCATCAAATGACCCAGTAAGTCATTTTAGTCATTTTTACTTACGCTTCTCCAAAAAGAGTTTGTTGTGTATACCTTTGATATGACAGTGTACCTCATTTTCTCAACAACCAGCTAAAAATCTTCAAAAACTTTGGGAGAAATCACAAAGAACCCTGAAATCCTAAATTTAAACCACAGATTAGAGCTGGACAATTACATTGAGGACAGGATTTGTAGAAAGTGAGAATACTTCATTAAAAATAATGACTCTAGYTCCTGCCATCCCAGCACTGTTCAAGAATTCAATTCAGATTCAAGTTTTGACTAGAGAAGTAGAAAGGATCACAGATGTCAAGACCATGGAAAAACATATTCAAGCAATAATAAAGGAAATTTGAGTTCATATTCTCAGATGAGAACACAGCTATTCACAGATAGTGTCGTAACTGATGCACTTCTCCATTCTATTCCATATTATTATCAGAAATTCAACAAGCCTGGTAGAATAAAAGCATAGACAATTGAAGAATAAAAGCTGCTTAGAAAGATGCAGAAAGCAAACAGCCAAAATATTTATACCATTCAATCCACATGCTTGTTCTTTCTCCATAGGAACTGCCCGTCTTCTCCTTAAGGTACTTTGAAGGATATTTGCCCCATAGATAATATGGGGATGGGGTGTTCCCTCTTTCTGCAGATGCTTTTTAATGGGTTCAATGAAGTAATCCCCATGGGGTAGATGGAAATATCCAGTCTGAAAATAAGCATAAAAAAGTTAATCTCTACTGTCCAGCAAGGCAAAGAGAACACAGGCTGTTCACATCACTATCTCTGAGCTTTTCTCTTAAGGCAGCCTCTGCAGAATCAAAATATGAGAACAGACTTTCAGCATTTATTTTGCTACATACATGAAGGTGTAACAGGCTAGAGGGSCATGTAAAAATATCTTTTCTTTAATAACCTGAAATCCAGTCTATTGAGACAAAGGTTCCATATTTGTACAAAGCTGCTTAAAGGTCAAAAGCTAATTAGCTGCACACAATGCACTAGAAAGTTGTGTCTTGTTCCTCTCGCTTTTTGTATCTCTTCCCTGGAGAAGAAGCCCTGAATAGGAGCTATTTCATAAATAGAAAGTACAAATCTGTTGCTAGCTGAAATCCTATGTCGAGATCATGCATAGGATGAACTGTGTGGTCCACTCTCATCTCAAGAGCACAAAAACCTTTTGGCCTCAGGCTTTCAGTGGAACAGGCWGGCAGCTGTTCACACATTTTAATAAGCTCTTGTGATCATAAAATAGACCTGCATAACAAAGGCTGTAAAATTTCTCATGCTACAAGTTCTGTACCCAACTCCTGACTTTGAGCAAGAGCGCCTTTGATAACCATCTGGACTGTACAGGATTCATTTGTATCTCCCTCCCCTGTGACCTAAGGGATGGCTCCAGCAGCTGGACAGGGTCAGATCCTTGTGTCCATATTAAGAATTTTTAGTATATTGCAGCACTGCAAGAGCACTGTATAGCCCTTCCACTTTGATATGTAGATATAACATATAGAGCACTAAACCTAAAGCAAAGGCTCTACTAAACACAGTCCCACCTTTCCTATACAGAGCACCTGATGGGGGATCCGGCCTCTCCCTCTGATGGCTTCTCCCCCCACTCCCTTCTCTTCAGCACAACCTTCCTGCTCAGTGGCAGGAGAATCGAGAAGTGACACTGCTGCTGTATTCAGACTTGTAAGGACAGAAACAAGGAGCCTCATGTGAAATTCTGCAAGTCTTATTTTCTCTCCATAGCTGGGAAATCTAGTATGTGAGTGAAGGGAAGAGGGAGACCATGGGAATGGAGGAAACGCAGTTCTTAAAGGATAAGCATTCATGGACTACGTATCAGCAGTTTAAATTATACATCAAGGCTACCACAAACGCAACAAATTCCATGTTCAGAATGAAGATGTCAAGCAAACATAAATCTATAGAGGAAGAACTCCTACAAGGAGGCTAGACCAGGAGATCAGCAGATGTGGCTTTCCCCCTGCTGCTCAAGCAATCAGTGTATCTGCATACGTTCTTTCCCAATCCTTTTCATTTCCTAATAACTCAATTTTTCTTTGATACTCTGAAAGCCTGGGTCACTTTGACCTTTTTCAGTTGCATTTTTAACTCAGAATCAGGAAGAAATAGTTTTGGGTTTTTTTGCCCCCCCCACCATCAACTCCAACCTTGTATGGCAGGTTGATTAGTCATTGAGCTATTATGTCAAAGCTGCAATAATACAGGAAGGCTTATATAAGCAGTGACTTCACTCTCGAAACTTCTCCCTGCTAGTACTTGCACATAAGAATTCAGTCCTCCATCCATGCTTTACMAGATGAGATAAATAGACATTTACCATATTCCACATTGTCCTTACATGCAGAAAAAYAGCAATACAGGTTGCTCAGTAAGCCACCAAACAGTTAATATAGAACATGACCTCAAATACCTCTTTTTTTAAACTTTTTTTTTTTTTGGTAGAACATCTCTTTTCTCAGTTATGGCTTTTTGCCATAGCACCTCTGTCCCAAGTCATCTCTGTTCCAATACACTGACAACACCCCAAACCAGCTGTGATTCTGTGGACATCATTTGTTATGTGCARCAGCATGGCCTTACTGTCCCATCCATGTGAGGCAGAAATCCCACCAGACRCCCTCTAGATCAGAGATAAACCTAGGCTAGTTCCTCTCACCCCCTGCAATARCTGCTCATCAACACTAGTTCTTATACTCTTCTCATGAGCACCTTCCAGGAGCACATACAGTTCCTACCACATGTGCTTTTCTCCTTCTGTGGATCAAGCATCAGTCGCCAGCACCATCRTCTTTAGTGCTGTAATTACTACCTTACTTCTTGTCCTTTGTTATGTTAGCCAAGGTCCAAAGATACCTCCAGCACTTGCTTCAGGAAAAGGGGAAACTTGTCGTACTCCTTAATTCCTGGAAGCAGTCACATCCGCGTGTCAGATCTTTCTCAAAGCCACCTCAGACATGAGTAACTTCTTTTAAAAAACAAAACCATWGTTGAATTAAAACTGCCAGCAATGTGGCCACATTGACAAATAAGAAATGGGACAAATTTAGCACACTTCAAGGCTGAACGCAAGATCAGTAATGGTAACTAACTTCCTTATTGCATAGACACATCGATTTGAATTAGGTCCATGACTACAGAGCTAGCTTAAAAGCAATACTAAAAATGTGTCTTACTCCATARCTTTTTTTTTAAACAAGCAACTGCTATAAAGAAAGAAATAAAAAGCATGTTCTACTTTCAGCCTCCAGAAATGACTACATTGCATGCACGAGCTTATCAGGAAAAGATACAGTATATRTAGTTCATGTAAAAGAGCACTGGATAGATCAATTCTGGAACCTGCCTCAAAATTTCCCCTTTTTTTCCCCTCATACTATGCAATTCTTAAATGTCTAAAAACATCTGCCAGTTCCACTTTCAAGCTGCAACAACAACAGGAGCTGACATCTTCCAGGTGAAGAGCTCTTATCACAACTGCTCCTGGAAGTGATAGGAAGGAAAGGACAGGAAATCTTGCAAGAAAGATCACTTGTGTTTTTTGCCTAACAACACAGATTTAAAGTTTGCTTATTGCAATTAGTGTTGGATAAAGTCTGTTTGCTAACTCAGCTGTCACGCATGACAATGCTTCATTTTCTCATTTACAAGTTGCTGGAGATTTCCTGTGTCTCGAGGTCAGCAGCTCACTGCTCTGCACACTTGCAAAGCAGTCAATYGCTAGGCTTCTTAAATTATTCTTCCACAAAGGCTTTCCATAGCAAGAAATGCTTTGCCTACACCAAATAGGCTTCTGCAGGTCTTCTGAAAGAAGATTCTTAACCTTTAGTTTGCGTATCCTGAAACTATTTTAATCTCGACCCATTAGCTGTCATACAGCAAAGACTTCCATTCCTGCCCAGAATCACAACATGCACAGGCTATGCACTTAGTCAAACAAGAGATGTTTATCAATTAAATGGTAAAGAAGATCATTTGATTCATGATTTTGATTCATGATTTCTGTACATCAGGAATACTGAATCAAGACATCACAGCTTTAACTCTAAGAAACACGGACATGTCAGAAATAGCTTATTACAGCAAAAAGATAAATACTTTCTATGTCAAATGCTAATATTCCCAGGGAAATATTTTTATGAATTTAATTTCCTGCTCTGTCTTAATGAGCAGCGCAATACCTGTGTAAATTTACGGGCAAATCAAATAAGGAAATAGCAGTGGCAAACACTGCACTCAGCGCTGCCAGTGACGAAGAGGTGGCCRAAGGCTGCTGCCAACGTGCAGATGGGCTTTCAAACAGCTTCCTCACGCTCTCATTACTGCTGAACTAGCACTTCCCACTTGCCCTTTGATTCCTCATAGACTCCACGCTGTGAAAGCAAATAACGAGACCAAACAGAAGAAAACATCAACAAGCTCCGCATTAAACTTACTTCAGAGCACTCCAAGCTGGCAAGATTCCCTGCGCCGTTTAAGTGTTTCCTTCCATTTGCTCTTATATTTGCTCTTTCCCAAGTCGCAAGTAAAACATTTTTTCATTTGGAAGCCTTCAAGACTTCAAGCTCTGTGTATGCATAACTTTTTAGGATATCCACGCCTGATGATGCTACTATTTGAGTGCATTTAATCAGAATGCACTCAGCATAAATGAATAAGTCTTATGCTCATTGCAAAATTCAGATTGCAGGTGTTTTTTTTTTTTTTTTTACCATTCAAAACAACCATTGCAATCCATTTTCCATCATCTAAACTTCTTTATCCCTAAACTTCTATATAAAATGATAATAAAAATAGCCAAAAAAATAGGGAATTTCCTCCATGCCTACAAGYGAAAATCAACCACAAATTTTTCTCATTTTTTCCTTCAAAAARCTTCCTTTGAATTCTAACATTTGTGCCAAAAGTGCCTCCCAGAGCATATTTGGAAGAGCTGTCTCATTGTTTCCTAAATCTTTAGTTCAAAGTGCCTCTTTGCTCTACCCTCCTACCCTGCTCCCAATGGCTCCCTGGACAGTTTGCAGCTCCCACAACGTGTGGCTCATGATGGGGCAGTCCTAAAACACTTCTGATTTTCAGACAGTTTTGTTTTTTTTTTCCCTCAGCAGAAATTTGAGTTTCCCAGTACAAAGCAGATATTTTTCATGAAGTATTTCTTCTGATCAATATAAAGTTTGAGGRGTTTTTAATCAAAAAAATGTTTTCTGGCAGATATTTTCTCAAGTAATCCCACACAAGAAACCRAAACAGAGTCTGGCAGGAAGGAAAAAAGCAGCCTGGAGCCTTGGCTGAGCTTTGCAGCGCTATCCTGGAAAGGAGGGGCTGGAATCAGTGGGAGTTTGGGGCCAAAGGGGAAAGGCTCCCAAGCCACTGTAAGCAACGCTCAGACTTTCAGCCTAAATCTGCATTACYGAGTACATTGACAGTAATACTAAAAATACATTTTAAAAAAGCATCTGCAGCAAAAACAGCTCATTGCTCACCCAGACTGCAGTAATTCTGACATTCACAGGCACTGAAAACATGGAGAGCTTTCMGAAATTAACTGATAGAAATTCTTTTTAAAAAGGTGCTGAGTTTACCCTTAAGAACTTTGATCTGGTTGCTTATCACAAGTGTAAGGCATACTAAGATTTTCAGTTTCTATAAAAATTTTCTTATGAAAGGAAGATTTGCACT